TTTTCTCCGCTAAAAATATGGTTTTACTGTTAATTCCACGCATCTACGAGTAAATCGAATTTTCAATTTCAAATGTAAATTGAATTTTAAAAAATTCGAAATTGTTACTAAACAAAAATTCTACTAATTTTTTCAAAACCTTGCTGCTCATTTTACAATACCGATGTGTATGCAGGAAAAATATTTTCAAATGAGAAATAGAAGAACGAATCAAAATAAATTATCAGGCTATATCTGCTCAGAATTCGATTCTGTACAAAATATATGGCATTTTGTGTATGCATTTATGTACATTGTCATAAACTGAATACACGCTGTGTAATAAAACTAGGAACTTAATAAAAAAATTAATCAGAAATTTCAATAAATAAAATCAAAATAAAAGAATAACAAAAAAAAAAAAGCATAGTTCTCACACTAAAGACGGGCTAAAAATAAAACTTTTTCATTAATTCTTTTTAAGCAGATACAAATGTCATGGTAAGTCAATCAACTTTTAAGTACCGTCCAATTAATGAAATTATAAATTACTTTCATTTAATACGAGTATTAACCTATCAGTTTATACTAAAATTATCTTGTTATTTTTAAAACTCCAGCTCTCGTATGGCTAGCATATAATATTTTAAATGAGTGAGAAAAAGTTAAACAAAATCTTCTTGTACTTGATGGCGCTTAGTTCAAAAATTGTTTATGGTAAATGCTGATATTTATAAATCGATGCTGACTTAATGCAAGTATTCGTACGATTGTTACACGAGTGTACTCAGATTGTTTTATTGGTACGTAAATGTGCGATTAATTAATTTACACATTAAATTCGATGATACTACAAACTACAACGCTCGGTATGAATTTTTATAATAAATTATCATTGATTTTGAATGGTTTTTAATTTTAAAAAATATTTATATTAGAAATTTAAGAAGACATAATATATAAATTTTCACAAAATAAATTGGTGATTTAGTTACATAGTTTGGTTCCTGAAAATTTCATTCAATTAACCTTTCATTAACTGAAATATGAGTGAAAAAACTAGTTTGGGAAAGTAGGATAACAATTTATATGTTGTTTATGACGCAGGTGCAACTATAATCCAACAACTACACATTGTACCGTATCATTCATATCGTCATTCATTTTTTTTATTAGTTCTAATTGTAAATTTAGCGTTTTAATGAATCTTTGGAGACTGCAAATGTTCGGTGATCTACCTTTATGCAGTGGGATCGAGTGCCCCAATACATATATCGCATCTCATCAGCAACTCTAACAAAATAAGATGTGAATTTGAATTACTCTGAGATGTGCCATTTTATGAAGGAGACTAGATTCAGATACTTAATATTGTTGTGCGGCTGATGTCTCGAATTTAGGTATTGTACAATAATTACGATTAAATAGTAATCACTAATTGTATTTTTTAAGGAATATTTAATGACAATCTTATGTATTTTGATAATATAACCTTTAAAGTACGAGGTGATAATTTTAATAAATTCATCGAGTTGCTATTAATATTACAGATCTCTCCTAATCCTAACTTCTCCGTAATTGTTTTATCGTGCGCTATGGATAACAAAATTAACACTGAATAAGAGAGCATGGAACAGTATGAAGGTACAGTGAATATGAAAGTGTGAGAGAATATAAGGACCTATAAGGAAATAATTATACAAGGAAGATCTAAAATTTACTACCACCACGTCGGTTAAATGTTAAATAATACTTACGTAGCGACATCTGTTGTTCCCGACTGAATTTTTTGAAATATCATTTTTTCATTATAATCGCACCTTGATCTAATAAAAATAGTTTTTTTTTTCAGGTGAAAAGAACTCAATTAATCATTTTATACACACTGTGTATATATATTTGTGTATGTGGGAGTAAAACATAAAAAAAATCATTTCTTTTTTTAACCTCAATTCTTCTCTTTTAATGTGACAAAAGTACTTGATGTAACTTTAAAATTTACTAATGAAATATTTCAATATACTTGTAAACACTTAAATTTTTTATTAACTTAATTTCGTCAATATATGGAAGACAAAACCCAACTTCAAACTGCTTAAGTGCAGCATTAAATTGCAACAATTGTGTTGGTTTTTAATTGTAACTGTAATTCATACAACTTCAACTTATACCATTACTAGCATTATCATACCATTATCATACAAAAAAAATGTAATGCTCAATATAAATGAATAGTTTGATGGTTATGCTTGAATGGTCGCCGCCATTCTAGTACCCACAATAATAACATTATAAAGAGCATGTCATTCTGTTTTTCATAGATTTAGAGTTGAAGAAGAAAAAAAAGAAGAAGAAGAAGAAAAGTCTTTTATGTACTCATGCACAATTGTATGAGAATCAAATGACTGTCAATTAATTTTTTTTTTTTTTACATTTTCACACAGAAGATCAATTGAAGTCTTAAAATGAAGTCTTTTTTTCTCTTTATTAACATGATATTGAATGGTTTAAAGATGATGATCAGAGATGAAACCTCTTTTATATGATTCTTTATACCTTTTAAGATCTTCTTTAAAAAAAACTTTTAATCTAATTGTAAAATTTTTGATGTTTCTGCAAGGTTTTTTTTATTTTTCTTAATTGTTTCAATTTTTGTTCAGCATGACAATTTAAGTAAGAAAAAAAAAATCTAATTTTATTTTAATAGAAAATTTTTATTTCAATATTGAATTTTTAATTGTCTTTTTATTCAACAGATGGCTGCCTGTCACATTGACGCTTTTAAAAATTATTGGTAGATTTTGGCTGTTAGTTAGGTTGACAGCTCTTTTCACTTCAATTTTTGTATACTGCAAACTATACTGCGATAGAATTTAAAAAAAAAATAATTATGACAGGGATTAATAAAACCGTTAATTTTGAAGAAATGTCAAAACTGAAAATTGATAAAACAAATATGCCGAATATTGCCAAATGCACCTAAATAATTTTGTTTCTTTGCTGTAAATTTTATTGCAGAACGTTCGCAGAAGTATACAAGCAAAAATGTATTGTTTTTTGTAGTAAAGCAAGAAAAATAAGCTGCAATCCCAGTTCTAAATTCGCAAGTCGAAAAAAAATTTTCGGAGAAATTTATTAATAAGAGAGATTTTTTCTGATTAAAGAAGATTTTTTCTCAGTGAAATTAAAATTGAGCTTCCGAACAAATCTTGCCTTGATATTTCTCACCTTCTCATTTCACTTCTTTTATGCTATTTCATTTACGTTGCTCTCCTAATTCCCATTATAAAAGTATTGTAAATCGTATTAATTGGATTTTGATGTTTTCTTCTTAATGTACTCACTTATAAAACGGTAAAATTGTATACTTTTTTGTTTCAACAAAAAGAAAGAGAGAAAAACAAAAACAAAAATCAGGTAAAGGCGGACAAGTTTTATAAGCTTTTAAAGTGAATTTTAAATTTTATTCGTTTTTTAAAGTAAAAAAATTATTATTATTATAATTTTTTACACTCCCCAGGGTCTATGTTAATATAATATTTTAAAAACAAACATACATACATTGTTATAAAAAAAAATTGCACATTAGATTTTTAAATAATTAAATCTGTAGCCATACAATATATTTTTACACAAGGAATGTGATCACTGATCATGCATCGAAGACTACGGCTATTAAAGCTTCATCTTTTTAAAATCAACTCTATCTAAATTATATAATAAAAATTAGAACTTAATTACAGTTGTTTTTTGTAATTTCCACAAGTATCAGAATTCAAAACATAAGTTCTTCACAAAATTGAGAAAGCTTTTCATGTTTCATGGCGAGACACAAACATTCGGTTCAAAGACTTTAACAAAACGTGTGAGAAGTGGATGCCTGATTGATATCGCTGTTTGTTTGATCTTTTAACTCTGTGTAAATATCCGAAAAATATTTCTGCTCTACAATGAACCATATGATAACACAGAAAAACTGGCTGTGTCGTATATTTTCGGAAATGTTTCTACTCTGTTGTTGAAATTTTATTGTACAGCGACACTTATTACTAAAGATCAAACCCCTTGTAAAAAGCCTTGTTATTCAGTCGAATCAACACTTAAAATATTGTACGATTTAAAAATATTTCAAGAAGGTAGATGACTATGGCAGATTCATTTAAAAAAATTTATCCATTAGATTCCGTAATTTTTATTGAACGACTCATTAGGATAATTTTATTTATATTAAGAAGATAAGGAATTTCCCAAAAAAAAAAATGATTTTAAACGTTTTTAGCGTGACACTTTGTATGTCTTTTGTGATTTCGTTCATAATTTACAATATTTTAAATAAAGATGAGTGTGTTGAATTTATTGCGAATAATATTAAAAACATGATAAGCATTTGTAATATAATAAATAGGAGGACATTTTGGTTAAGATGTCGAATGCAAATTTTCAATTTTTGTGGGAATGTTTTTCTTTTGCAAATTACAAAGTTCGTAATATAAGAAAGAATTGCCTTAATATTTTACTTTGTAATGTGAACTTTTTTTTTCGTTCTGTTTTTTTTTTTTGCATAAAATCATTAACAAGATTAAAAATAAAGAGCCGACCGAACAAATAATATTGCACAGCAGGAATAATCATTTTATGTTTTTCATCTTATTTATAAAAATTGTGAAGAATTTATTAAAAAATATAGCAGTTTAGGGGTTTTAGCGTTGAAATTAAAGATGAGTCGGGAAAAAAATTCAAATATTGCTAATTAGATTATTATTGATTGTAAAAAACAAATTCTCTTATTTTCGGGTTTATTGCATTTTAATATGACATTTACTGTGATTTCCTTTCAATTCTTAGAGCCGTAAATATTCAGTAAAACGCGTCAGGAAGTATTATCTAGAACTAAATTACAATTTCCAAAATTTAAACTAATGAACAAATGAGCTTTTAAGATACATAATTGCCGAATTGTGTAGTACTCGTAAACCAGTAGTAGGAATTTTGCAATAAATTTACGAATTTTCTATGAGCAGAATCTTGTCAACTTTAGTGATAAAGAATCAAATTTCCGTACTATAAGTGTATGCTAGATGAGAAATTTCTGAGAACTTTAGAGTTTATCGAATTGAGAGTGTTTTTTTGGCAGGTTCCCGATCTTTATTTTCGTATTCGCACTAATAGAAATGAGTCTATAACGAACAAGTTTTACAAAAAATTAAAACAAATACCAAAAAATTTTTTATTAGTTTTGAAACACTTTATATATATATATATTTTTTCATTTTTGTAATCTTAAAGACTATAACAGGTCCATTGTGTTTAGAAAAGAGGAGTTAAAAATTTTTTAAATTAAAAAACTTATCCATGAGATGAGACTTTTTTTTTTTGGTTGCTACTTTTGGTTTATCTATTTTTTTTTTCGATTTTCTTCTACATTTTTTTTTTAATATCATTTTGGCCTACGAATTGTTAAAATGAATGTTTTATTTATTTTTTTTTTGTCTTGGTTATTTAAATATAAAATCACAGTTTGAATTTGGTTTAAAAATATTTTTAAAATTACATAAAATATGAAATTACGAGTTTACAATGAATTAATTTTATATGGTTTTCGATTGGAATTTTTAAATATTTTTTTTTTTTATATGGCCGGTTTTTATGCCCGAAATGTAAGTTCATCGTGTATCCTTTTAATTTCATTATATAATTTTGAACCAATTTCTAATGTTGGTGCATATAAACGATTTGGTATATGTTGTTTTTCATTTTTTGATGGATCTATACAAATATTTAATAATGCTAAAAGACTTGATGGTGCTTTTGCTGTTGATAATAGACCCGGAAATAATCGAGTACCTTTGAATATCTAAAAAGAAAAAATATTGAATATTCTTTAATTTTTATTCGAATAATTTATTTTCAGTAAGGAAAAGTGCTTACATATTGGCAAACAATTTGTAAATTATTATTTTGTTGTTGACCAGTACATATTTTTCGAGTTTCATCACATTTCCCTAAACAATATTCATAGACGCAATCACTGTCCACCTCACAATGTGAACCATCTGTTAATAATCTTTCCAATTGAAATTCTGAAAGAATGTATTGTGCAGTTTGATATTTGATTCTGGAAAATAAGAAATAATAGAAAAATTACATAATTACTGTTAAATGTAAGTAGATGTCAAATTTAATTTAAAAAGAAGTGTTTAAGTTTTTGATAATTTTCAAACACAGAACACTTCAAATGAATTAGTGACATTATTTATGACATTAAAATGACACACCGACATATGTCAGAAAAATGGCAAAATGACAAAAATATTTGTAAACATTCTCCTTTAAAGGCTGAAAATATTGTAGTATTTCAATCAAAAAGCAAGTATTTCACTTTCATTTTCGAACACTATTTTCGGAAAACTTCGATTCATTAAATAAATTTTATAAAATTCTTAATAATTAAAAAAATTAAAATTTTTTTACTGTTTACTCAATTATCAATGATTCATTTAATGTTATTTCCTTTCTATACCATTGTGTGCCTAAATTTTACATTTAATTAATTAAAAATAAAAAAATTAAAGAAATCTACCTTGAAAATTGCTCTAAAAAAATTGTTTTTTCATGTTCAATTTTGACACCTTTTATTTTATTAATTTATAAAAGACGGAGAACCAAAAATCAAAAAAACAAATAAAATTGCAATACAAAAGATTATCCGCGATTACTTAATCCGAATTATTAAAAAAATTCTATTTAAATCTGAAAATGAGTGTTCGAAACAAAACAAAAGATTCATAAATCAAAAAGAAAATGATTGAAAAAAATTTTAATTTTTTTTTTTTTTAATTATTTTAAATGTGTATAAAATTTACCTTTTATCAAAAGTAATACCAAAATGATGTGGTTCAACTTTGCACATTTTTAATGGCTCCGGTTTAATTGTATCCAAACGATGTAAAAATTCCATAATCATAAGTGCAAATTTTAAACGACCTTCCCAATCAATTGTTCTGCATCAAAACCATATAAAAATTAAATATAAAAATTTATACAAGCAAAATATACAAACAAATTATTATAACGATTTTATAAACCATATACAAAAACTATTAAAGAAATTATGAATAAAATGAAAACTAACATATAATGACGAAGTCCAGTTTCTGGTTGAATTGAATCTAAATTTTCTGTTGCATAATATGGACCGCATGAACCTAAAATATTTGGAAATATCGATTCCTCTTCATACAATTTACCCATCATATAATTATTATCTTTAAATAAACGCCATAAGCTTAACATTTGCTCTGGATTATGTGGATCTATTTCTTGGGTCAATAGTGCATGTATCTACGGATTATATGGAATACTATTAAAATATGCATAAATGTTAAAAAAATGTTGAATATAGAAAATCAAAAAATCGTATAAAGTAATGTTTAAGAAAAAAAAAAGAGAGGATATTTTATGAATTGGGAAATTTTTTTTAAAATTTAACCAATAAAATAATAATAATGAATTTTGTTTGATGAAGAGATGATTTTTGAGAATTAAAAATTTTATTGGTCTCTTTTTATGATTATTGAACTTTTTTGCTTATTGCTCTTACCACTGTATCTTCAATTGTAACATTATATGTAATGGTTATGTATTGTTTAATGATATTTTGAAATTCTAACATTTCAGGATACCTTGTAAGTCCATTTTTATCACGCCATGTTAAATCATCTGTTATATGCTTTGCAAGCTAAAAACAAATTTTTGGTAATGTTTAAAAAAATAAATAATAATGAAAATATTAAAATGAGAGAGAAAAATTCATGCCAAAGCTAAAATTTTTATGAGTGAATTTTAATAAACGAATATTAATTGAAAAATTGTCTATTCTTTAGCAATACAAGAACAACACAGCAACATAACAGTAATTAACATTAATTTATGAATTAAAATAATTGAGAATTTGAGAAATTTTTTTACTTAAGAAATTGGAAATTTTAAAAGAGAGAGAATTTAAAAATTTAAACATTTTTGATCATCTATATTTCGATTTGATTTGACGCTCATATATATGTATATATATAAATTAAGCAAAATTAAGCAAAAGCGTTATAAATTAAGCAAAAGCGTTAGTGTAGGATGTCATAACGTAAATAAAAATATAAGACTTGTCAAATGAAATGTTGCGGTTAAAAATTTACATTAGAGAAAATTGAGATTTCTGTTTCTATATTCTCTCTAAATGCTAAAAAAAATAATGAGAATGGTTACAATTGTAGTTACTTTACATTAAAAAAAAAATATGTTTTTTTTTTAACATTGCAGCGTGAGCCGCACTAACATGCTGCAGTGGCAATAAACTTAATTTAAATTAAATTTTACAATTTTTATTATTTACATTAATGTCGCTGTCACAGTGCCGCAATAATGTGAACAGAGTACTAAATTGTACTCAAGAAATTTCACGCATATTTATTTATATTTGATTATCAGAACTATCCCAATTTAAAATTAGAAATGCAAGTTGTTTACAAAAAATAAAGGAACGATACAAAACTACGACCATTTGCATTTTGATTCAAATTTACAATCCTTACTCTCTTATAATGGTTATTGGTGTTTTGAAGCTATCAATTCTTAATCATAATTTTGGTACAAACTTGGAATAATTTTGCACCCTAATGGTATGGTAATTAGAGTCGATAGGGTTGCCATATATAATAAATATTTCAAAACTTGTATGAAATTTTGCAAAATAATGGAAATGTCTAATTATAAAAATTCCAGTTTACTTCTAAAATAATTTTAATATGTGACGTACATCAAAATAATTTAGTAAAGTGCAAATTTATTTAAAAACTAATGTAATATTTTAGCGGAAAATTTTCTACTTTGAATGGTTTTTTTTGTTTATAAATAGAATTTTCTTTGTTTTTTTTTAATTATAATGAGTGATGTTCTTTAATAAATATTACAGTTTTCTATTTATATAATATTATTTTTTGTATAACATTATATATATTATTAAACTATAGTATAGTAGAACTAAAAAATTTAAAAAAAGTTTAAAAATAGTGTCATTTTTCTTGCCCTATTAGATTGTATGACCTAAATTTAAACTTTCTTTCGAACAATATATACAAAAATAAAATGTTAATTTACTATATACACATTATGTAAATATAGCTAAATACACACACACATATACAACATACATAATGTATGAATATATAAAAAGATACCACATACTTCATTTACCTTAATAGCGTAGATATCATTATTTTTAACAGCTGTAAACATTATCGTTTTCATTGAATTGTGAGGACATTTAAAATCCTTAAAAGATTCACCATTGCATAATTCTTCACACAGGGCCCCACTATATTGATTTTGTTTATATTGATTACACTAGACAAGTATAATATAATTAAAATAATAATTAGTTAGTATATAATGGAAATTAGGTTTATAATTAAGTACACGGGGGGTGTACAATTAAAATTTTCAATTACAATTAAAAAATTCTTACCATATGACTTAAACTGCTTGATGATAAAATTTTATAACAAAATTCTAAACTTAAATATGAGAATGAAAAAACTACAACACCTAACAAAATTGATGAAATTAAAACTCTTTGGTATAAGGAACGAAATTTTCTTCGGACTGCATGTGTTAAACTGACCAACATTATGATTGTTTTTTCTATATGATTGTAAAATTTTACTTTAAATTTATTTTTCTTTTAACTATTTTAATTAAAAATTATTGAATAAAATTGAATTTTATTCAAATTTTTAAATTCATAAGTAAAATTAAAAATTTTTTTATTCTTTTCTTATTTAAAACAAAATTTTTCTGTAACTTGTTGGTATTTTATGCGTTCTAAATTTCTAATAATACGTTGAAATTGTGAACTAAACGAAATGTGAGTACAATAAAAAGGATGTGTTCAATAACAATAATAAAGATATCTGAAAGCTGTCAAATTTTATCTGAAAGAGAATTTTTTTTTACTGTCATTTTGTTGTGATTTTATTTTAAAGCGACAGTGAAGTGACACAATTATTGTTTAAATATCATTGTGACAATTAAGGGTTTTGTAAATTTATTTTGATGTTTAAATTTAAAAAGTACGAAGATGTAAAGTGAATTTTTGAATTTTTAATTAAATAATTGGAAATGTTTAAAAGAAAACTTAAAATTCCATTCAATAATAGTAATCAGTTATAGAAAACAGTGGATTACAAATTCAAAGATTAATGTAACGGAATGCAGTATTCGAAGCATCACTTAAACGCCTGACAGTCAGGATTTAGGTTAAGGATATTAGTCTCTTTAAATCTTAAAAACGGTATAAAAACTTCTCAAATATTAATTTTTATAAACATTTTTAGATAATAATTTCCATATCAATTTTGTATAACTTCAATTTCATATATAAAATCAAAATTCTTTCCCATATGAACAACTTAATGAACAAACGTAATTTTTTTTAGTCATGCGTACTATAGAAATACTAAACTACATGTTGTTGTATGCCTTTGACATAAATATGTGGGATGTGGAATGAAGGTGAATGTCCTTTTATCGGGGTAAAAGCATAATACTATACGCGAGTATATAATTGAAATGAATGAGATTTACGATTATTAGGAGAAGACTTACTTTTTAGAGTTTTTCTGTTTTGTTTTTAATTCTTTTCATTCTTTATGATTTTATATCACGATTATTTCATATGTTTGTATAAAAACACAATTAAAATCTTATTTAGTGCTCACATTTCTAAAGTAAAAACACCAGTTGAATGTTTTTTCATTTATAGTATATACGATGGTTAACATGAATTTTATTGACATGTGCATGATTTCAGTAGATTTTTTAACAACACATAGAAATATGTGAGTAAATAAATAGAAAAATTTGGAGTTTAAATGTAGAAATTTATTTTTTGTTGAAATTAGAACCGGGAAGAATATTTTAATTATAAGAGTGCTGTTAAAATAATAGAAATTTGTGTAAATTAGTGAAATTTGATTTTGAAGTTCTTATGCTTAGATCTATTATACGTACGAAAACTAAAATTTAATTGATTTCATTCTGAAAAATGCACTTTTTCGAAGCGTTCCGATACTGGAGTTGGGCTGTCTGCAAAAAATTGTTTTAAATTTTTACAAAATAAACGTTCGTTAATTGAGAGAATTTGAGTGTCAGTAGCAAAAAAAAAATTAAATAGAGAAGAAATGTGTGGGAAATACATAATGCTCTTTTAAATTGAGAACAAAATTCAAGTTTGAGTGTCATAATTCAATTAACTATAATGATTGAGATCCCAATGTTGTCAGTTTTGCTCTTGTTTGTTAATAATTTCATGCGATTCGAAAATAATTATTGTCGAATTTATAATTAGTTTTAGTTTTTAGATAAACTTTTAAATTTATAGATAATTTTGGAAATTTAACGCTCCATGTATTTGCAAATTACATAAAAAATAAATATTTTTGTTTTTATTCAATTTGAGAATTTTATTCAATTTTAACATGAAATTCATTTCACTGGGGCTAAATAAAATAATTATTTTATTGCGACAAAACTTTTTTTTAAATATTTAAAATAATTTATTTAAAAAAATGATCCTAATGGTTATTTTAGTTTCGGCGATTGGACAGTTAACAGTATGTATAAATAGTCACAAAACAGTTAATAATTTTTAATAATGTTATTTTAGGCATTACGTCAGATGATTGTCAGCCAGGATAATTTTAATTTATATTATTTTGATCCAGATTTCATAAGATACAATGATTTTAATGTTGAAGAAATAAATTCAACTACAAATTCTATAACATTTAATATAACATTATTAAAGGAAATTGATCAAATGCATTTAAGAATTAATTTTGCACCAAAAATCAATAATATACAACGTGGTGGTCAAGTTTATCATTCAATTGATGTTTGTAATTTATTAAGAGGAATTCAAAAACGAAGTCGTTTAACTGAAATGATAAGGAAATTTTTCTCATTTGAAAATAATAATATTAAACAATGTCCGTTTGAAGCTGGAATTTATGCAATAGAAAATTTTCAAATATCATCAAATTCAATACCACCGATTTTTCCAGCCGGAAAATATACATTAGAAGTTGAATCATTTATAATGGGTTGGAGAAAAATGTTAGTTAAATTTGATGTTAGTTTTAAGGTTGAAAGAAAAAATTAATGACATCATTTTTATTTGTTCAATATTTTAAGTTTTTATTTAATTAATTTAATAAATGATGGGCAAATATCTGAGTCATCTCTCTTATGTCAATGAAAATTATTGTACAAGAATTAATAAAATCAAGTAACAAGTTCAATTGAGTTCATACATTTGAGAATGATTTTTTTTTACTCATTTCATAAAAATTTACTTAAATTGGAATTGATAGATGGCGATTGTGTTGTATAAATTCTTGTAAAAAAAAAATTATTCACAATGAGTTAAAAAATATTTTCTAAGTAGTTTTCTTTTTTAAATTAAAAATTATATTATGGTGCGGTTTTAATTTCAGATTTCGAAGGTGAATTATTTAAAAAAAAAATTAATTTTATTTTCTACATAAGAATGACTTCGTAATTTTACAGGAAATATTTTTGAATTAAAGTGCAAAAGCTATGCATGATTAATAAAATGAAAGTGAATTCTTATTAAATTTACGATTTGATCTTGAATATTTTTTTTGATCAAATTTGAATTGTGAATAATTCTTTTATAAAATTTCCTAATTAAACTCAATAGATTTGTAATTTAAGTGTTAATTGAAATTGTTCTGCTTTTCTTACTAAATTTAAGCGGAGGATATGGAAATCTTCCTTTATAACACGAAATTATGGTAGGTGTCTTCTTCTTTTGCTTTCATTGCGCTTTAAAACTGATTTTTTTAACTATCACTGTTATAATTTCCATTTTGTAATACTATAAATACAAATAAGAAAATTATTGTTCATATAAAATTGTAAAATAATTTTGACGTTAGATGATATAGAAAAAATGTGGCCACCTGTAGTTTTTTTTTTCTTGGAAAACTATTTGTTGAAATAACACTAAAATAATTTTGTTTTTTTCTTTAATAATACTTTGTTTTTTGGCCTAAAGGAGGATTCATGCGAGACTCTCGTATTTTTTCGTAACATTGGCAATATTATATGCTATTATTGTTATTGTTGTTGTAATTCCATAATATTATATCGTATTACATAATTAATTTAATTTTTTTTACAATTTTTTTAGAAAAAAAAAAACAAAATGAAATATTCAGTGGCCTCAAACACAAACCGCCTAACTCGAGTTAAGACAAAAATGAGATATGTTTACCAGCGAATTCTCCGTTTTGAGTTTCACATGCTCACAAAATTTGGTGGTTCTACGACTGTTGTAGCCGGAGTTATTGTCGAATTCACACATGACCTAACTCGAAATGGTGGCTATGTGCACTTGCACTAATCGCCTAAATCGAGTTAAGAGCAGAAAACATCTTTTTAATGTTTTTCACAAACCACTTATTTCGAGATAGGCTATTGTTGCAAATCGAAATTAGTGACATTTTTTTTTATTTGTATGAATTTTTACAACCGCTTATCTCGAGTTAAGCTTTTGTTGCAAAATTAATTTTGAATTTTTTTAAATACTAACTCGAGATAAGCGATTTGTGTAAAATAATAATTGTTGGTTGTTTAAACTCATCTCGAGTTAGGCGATTATTGCAAATGCAATTATATTCCAAAAGGCTTCTTATGTTGAGTTAGGTTTTTATAACGCGTGCAAATAAGAATCAAAAACCAAAGTTAAGCGTTTAGTGTAAGAAATAATACATGATTAGTATAGAATTTTTTTTTAGTTTTTTATAATAAAAAAAATATTTTATAACGTATTAACATATTATTTTATGTGATATATAGTGTAGGTACTTTATATTCATGATTTACATTCAGCGACAAGTAAAATTGTTGTATTTTTTAACACAAAATATAAAACATCTGCAGAATTTACCTGCATTATTAATGCTCTAATTACCCAAATATCCCATGTTTAAGATTTGAATTTTTTTATTTAACAAATAATCTTGTAGGTCATTTCGTGATTTACCTGCGACAAATGTTTTTTTCAATTGACGGAGTTCCCATGTTAAAATGACACGTGGCTAGCTACCTGATGATAGATTGTTTTGCCTTTGTGGTCTAACATAATTGTATTATTAAACAAAGTGTTGTCTTATTACGCCCTTGTAAAACACATGTTATTAGGAAGATAAAATTTTTGTGTTTAACAAGAGTTTTTATTTTAATTATTGTACTACAAAGCAATATTTTTATTATAAACTAGTAAAACACATTTTGTTAGGAAATTCAAATTTTTATAATTTGCAAGGGTTTTCAATAAATAAAATTGGTACGTCTGGAAATAACAATATTTTGTCATACCTTTTATTACTCATTTCCGTAAGATTAAATTTCTTCGATTTTCAAATATTTATTATATTTTTGTTATTTCGAAGGAAGTATTTTTTACAAAGACAGTTATTTATTATTGTTTTTAAATGTGTTGATGTTGGAAATTGTTAAATAATGCAAAAATTATCCAATATAAACTTTATTCACGCTTAATAAATGTACGTTAAAAATTTTGGAAATTATCTGATCATTGGTGCAGTGGTTATGGCACCGGCCCTTTAACCGAAGGGTCTCGGGTTCAAACCCCGGTCAGGTCACTATAAAAATTATATTCAATATTATATAACTTAATATGAAATACTAATAAATATGATACAAGTAATTTTCAAATATTTATA